CTTCTATTTTGTGTGTGCCATATTGCAGAGGATGAATTGGTAACGGCGCCACTGACTGACGGATTGATACTCCCAGGTATTACCAGAGACAGTGTTTTGTGTTTGGCAAGACAAATGCAGGATCTCAAAGTTACGGAGCGATATGTAGGCATGGAGGAAGTACGGAAAGCTACAAAGGAAAAACGAGTTAGATCTTTTTCACTCCAAATTATCTTTCATGGGGCGGCAGAGAGACCAAGGAATCGAGTACTTCTCCTGTTTGAATAGCGAATGATAAATTTTACGTTTTTTAAAATTTAAATGACAACATTCTGTTTGTGACAGTTTATATCCGCGAAACAATCAATAATTTTATGTGTTAAATTGACATTGCCGAACGAAAAAGCGATCTTTGGTGTGCTTTCTAAAAAATTGCTAAGAGTCCCTTCTTTCTATCCATACCAAGTATGCCATCTTTCTAGCCATTCTGTTTTTTCTCAAACCAGTTGCGTAATTTTTTCAACTTTCTAAAATGACTTCAACTTCTTTCAAAATCAGAAAGTAGGGGAAAGTAATGACCTTTTTTGGATTTTTAAATTGCATTCTTTAACTTATTTGTTTTCAAAGCTGTTTATTTCTTTCATCACGGCGATTGGCAAGCTTCCATTGGCCGTAATCTACATGCGATCTAGTACTGATCAATTTATTTGCAAATTACGGCCTTGAAAAAGAGGAATAAAAAACGTTTAGGTTCTGAATGCGGTAAGGGGATGTCGTTAAATTGGAAAGTCTCCGAAGATGGAAGCGGAACAATGGAGGAGGGGCGGAACAGTGGAAAAAGGGGGAATAGTGGGTTTTGCTTTGTGCGTAGGCTTTTAAGTTCGCAAGTCTAAGAAAATTAGACATGATTACTTTACAGGCACCTGCCTAGTTGTAGGAGAATTTTATTTTTCGGTGTTTTAGATTTTGGAAGTATTAGTAGAAACAGTTAAAGGAGTTTTTTCTCGGATAATCAGGCGTTCGACCAAAATACTTAGAAGAGTAAATCTAAAAGTACTGCATCTGAATCCGCTCGGATTTTATGTGGACACGTTTGCGTGCTCATTGCCAGTGTTCTTTGATACCTCCTCTGTTGCAGATTCACGAAATCTTTGGCACAGGAACGGCTTGTGTCGTTATGCCAGTTGGACGAATTCTGTATAAAAATAAGGATGCTAATTACGATGAACTTGTCATACCATCAATGTCTGATAAAACCAGTCTCATGCAGAAATTCTACGATGCAATTGTTGATATTCAGGTTTCCTTTACTTTTTTTTT